AACTGCACCATTATTGTGAGGACCGTTCTGAGAAATGTGTGAAATATCTGAAGGTTGAAGTATTAAGATGTGGTTGATGTTCACAGTTTGAAGTTAGGGACAACACTGATGATGAATATAAGTATCAGCAGGCCTTCACAGCCGACGCCTGTCATGTCACACTTCCACACTGTCACTTTGTTAGAACATTACATAATTCATGACATACATGGCAACAGCAGGCCTGGTTCTACATTTAACACAAACCTTAGATCTGGAATCCTACAAGCCTCTACAAGCACATGCTTTAGTTCTATAGCTTCTGGGTACAGTTAAAGTGCTTCAACAGGGAATGCATGCACATATATGTGAGATCTATAACTTCTGTGTGTAGTTAAAGGTGCTTCAACAGGGAATGCATGCACATGTGTGTGAGATCTATAACTTCTGTGTGTAGTTAAAGGTGCTTCAACAGGGAATGCATGCACATATATGTGAGATCTATAACTTCTGTGTGTAGTTAAAGGTGCTTCAACAGGGAATGCATGCACATATATGTGAGATCTATAACTTCTGTGTGTAGTTAAAGGTGCTTCAACAGGGAATGCATGCACATATGTGTGAGATCTATAACTTCTGTGTGTAGTTAAAGGTGCTTCAACAGGGAATGCATGCACATATGTGTGAGATCTATAACTTCTGCGTGTAGTTAAAGGTGCTTCAACAGGGAATGCATGCACATGTGTGTGAGATCTATAACTTCTGTGTGTAGTTAAAGGTGCTTCAACAGGAATGCATGCACATATATGTGAGATCTGTAACTTCTGTGTGTAGTTAAAGGTGCTTCAACAGGGAATGCATGCACATATATGTGAGATCTATAGCTTCTGTGTGTAGTTAAAAGGTGCTTCAACAGGGAATGCATGCACATATATGTGAGATCTATAACTTCTGTGTGTAGTTAAAGGTGCTTCAACAGGGAATGCATGCACATATGTGTGAGATCTATAGCTTCTGTGTGTAGTTAAAGGTGCTTCAACAGGGAATGCATGCACATATATGTGAGATCTATAACTTCTGTGTGTAGTTAAAGGTGCTTCAACAGGGAATGCATGCACATGTGTGTGTGATCTATAGCTTCTGTGTGTAGCTTAAAAAGGTGCTTCAACAGGGAATGCATGCACATGTGTGAGATCTATAGCTTCTGCATGTAGAAGTTAAAGGTGCTTCAACAGGGAATGCATGCACATGTGTGTGAGATCTATAGCTTCTGTGTGTAGTTAAAGGTGCTTCAACAGGGAATGCACATGTATGTGAGAGATCTGTGATGCACAACAGGGAATGCATGCACATATGTGTGTGATCTATAGCTTCTGCAGTTAAAGGTGCTTCAACAGGGAATGCATGCACATAGCTAGTGTGAGATCTATAACTGTGTAGTTAAAGGTGCTTCAACAGGAATGCATGCACATATGTGTGAGATCTATAACTTCTGTGTGTAGTTAAAGGTGCTTCAACAGGGAATGCATGCACATGTATGTGAGATCTATAGCTTCTGCGTGTAGTTAAAGGTGCTTCAACAGGGAATGCATGCACATATATGTGAGATCTATAACTTCTGTGTGTAGTTAAAGGTGCTTCAACAGGGAATGCATGCACATGTGTGAGATCTATAACTTCTGTGTGTAGTTAAAGGTGCTTCAACAGGGAATGCATGCACATATATGTGAGATCTATAACTTCTGTGTGTAGTTAAAGGTGCTTCAACAGGGAATGCATGCACATATATGTGAGATCTATAACTTCTGTGTGTAGTTAAAGGTGCTTCAACAGGGAATGCATGCACATGTGTGTGAGATCTATAGCTTCTGCGTGTAGTTAAAGGTGCTTCAACAGGGAATGCATGCACATGTGTGTGAGATCTATAACTTCTGGGTGTAGTTAAAGGTGCTTCAACAGGGAATGCATGCACATGTGTGTGAGATCTATAGCTTCTGCATGTAGTTAAAGGTGCTTCAACAGGGAATGCATGCACATGTGTGTGAGATCTATAGCTTCTGCGTGTAGTTAAAGGTGCTTCAACAGGGAATGCATGCACATGTATGTGAGATCTATAACTTCTGTGTGTAGTTAAAGGTGCTTCAACAGGGAATGCATGCACATGTGTGAGATCTATAACTTCTGTGTGTAGTTAAAGGTGCTTCAACAGGGAATGCATGCACATATATGTGAGATCTATATGCACAACAGGTGTGTGAGATCTATAGCTTCTGCATGTAGTTAAAGGTGCTTCAACAGGGAATGCATGCACATGTGTGTGAGATCTATAACTTCTGTGTGTAGTTAAAGGTGCTTCAACAGGGAATGCATGCACATATATGTGAGATCTATAACTTCTGTGTGTAGTTAAAGGTGCTTCAACAGGGAATGCATGCACATATATGTGAGATCTATAACTTCTGTGTGTAGTTAAAGGTGCTTCAACAGGGAATGCATGCACATATATGTGAGATCTATAACTTCTGTGTGTAGTTAAAGGTGCTTCAACAGGGAATGCATGCACATATGTGTGAGATCTATAACTTCTGTGTGTAGTTAAAGGTGCTTCAACAGGGAATGCATGCACATGTGTGTGTGATCTATAGCTTCTGCGTGTAGTTAAAGGTGCTTCAACAGGGAATGCATGCACATGTGTGTGAGATCTATAGCTTCTGCGTGTAGTTAAAGGTGCTTCAACAGGGAATGCATGCACATGTGTGTGAGATCTATAGCTTCTGGGTGTAGTTAAAGGTGCTTCAACAGGGAATGCATGCACATGTGTGAGATCTATAGCTTCTGCGTGTAGTTAAAGGTGCTTCAACAGGGAATGCATGCACATGTGTGTGAGATCTATAGCTTCTGCATGTAGTTAAAGGTGCTTCAACAGGGAATGCATGCACATGTGTGTGAGATCTATAGCTTCTGGGTATTCATTTGTGCAGCATATTACTTCTTTTACATGAATGAGTTGCCTCCCTTCATTTTGCTGAGCCCTTGACTTTGTCAGCAATGTGTGCTTGTTGACATAGTCTTATGTTGGAATGTTTCAATTGTTTGATGCAAGCAAAATACAGATGTGAATGGTGCATATCATATGACAATTCACATCAAGACTGCATACTGAAGTCCATGTTTAGCGATGACAAAGGCTGTTCAGTTATTTCTAACTGTCATAGACGTTTTAAACTAGGCCTAAAAAAATGTTGTAGTTCTGATTACCCGACGGACCATTGAATTCTGGTGCCGACCCTATTCTTTTTAAGCGGAATGAATAAAATAAACTTTCAGATACCATTGTTTTTTCCCAGCACCGACAGACATGATCATTCTGATAGAGAAAGTCAATATGATGGCCACAAGCTTGATTGAATAAACAATTACACATTGATAAATGTTTTATTAGTTTGTACTTTACTTCGAAGAAAAATATGATTTTATTTTTTTTAAATTCCTACCTACCTACCCAAAATTCTAAAGAGGTGTAATCGGAACCACAACATTTTTTTTATTTCCCCTATGGTCTCTTGTAGGATGTTTTTTGTGACAATTTCTTCAGGTGTCCATTTCTTTGTTTTGTTCACTATGTTGATCTGAAGCATAGATATTTCATTACAAGCATTCAGTGAAACACTCTGACATTTTCCAATGTATGCAAAAAGCCAGGTCACCACTAAAATCAACAACTACCACCACCCACCACTAAAACAACAACTACCTCATGGGAAAAGAAAAAATATTACCCATCACTAAAACAACAACTACCACCATATCCACCACTAAAACAACAACTACCTCCACCCACCACTAAAACAACAACTACCACTCCTCCACCACTAAAACAACAACTACCACCACCCACCACTAAAACAACAACTACCACCACCCACCACTAAAACAACAACTACCTCCACCCACCACTAAAACAACAACTACCTCCACCCACCACTAAAACAACTAACTAAAACAACTACTACCTCTGCCCACCACTAAAACAACAACTACCACCACCCACCACTAAAACAACAACTACCTCCACCCACCACTAAAACAACAACTACCTCCACCCACCACTAAAACAACAACTACCTCTACCCACCACTAAAACAACCACCACTAAAACAACAACTACCACCACCCACCACTAAAACAACAACTACCTCTGTCACCACTAAAACAACCCACCACACTAAAACAAAACTACCAACCCACCACCCACCACCACTAAAAAACAACTACCTCCACCATCCACTACTAAAACAACAACTACCTCCACCCACCACTAAAACAACAACTACCTCCACCCACCACTAAAACAACAACTACCACCTCCCATCCAACCACTACCATCCACCACTAAACAACAACTACTACACTAAAACAACAACTACCTCTGTCCACCACTAAAACAACAACTACCACTCAACACCACCACCCACCACTAAAACAACAACCAACTACCACCACCCCACCACTAAAACAACAACTACCTCCACCCACCACTAAAACAAACTACCAACTACCACCACCATCCACCACTAAAACAACAACTACCACTACCACCACTAAAACAACAACTACCACCACCCACCACTAAAACAACAACTACCTTTCTTCCATCCATCCATCTTTCTTTCTTCTTTCTTTCTTCCTCCATCTTTCCTTTCTTCACTACCATTTCTTTCCTCCAGTCCACTTCTTTCTTCCTCCTTCTTTCCTCCACTTCCTTTCTTTCTTCCATCCACCTTTCTTCTTTCTTTCCTTCCTTCTTTCCTTCCTTTCTTTCTTCCACCATTCCACCACTCTTTCTTTCTTTCTTCCTCCACCTTTCTTTCTTCCTTCCTTTCTTTCTTCCACCTGTCCACTATTTCCTTCTGTCCTCCACCACATTCTTCTTCCACCTCCATTTCTTCCACTATCCACCATTCCTTTCTTCCATTTCTTCCTTTCCACCTCCTTCCATCCTTTCTTTCTTCTACCATCCTTCATCTGTCTTCCATTCCTTTCTTCTTCCTTCCACCATTTTCTTTCTTCCTCTCACTTTTCTTCCTTCTATCTCTTTCTTCTTCAAGCTCTTCCACCATTCCTCCTTCTCCTTCTTCCTCTGTCCACTCCACCTTTCTTTCCTTCCTTTTCCTGTCCATTTGTCTTCTTTCTCTCCACTCCTCCACTGTGTTCCTCCTCCTCTGTCCTTCCTCCTCCTTCCTGTCCATCCTTCTGTCCTTCTTTCTTCCACCTCCACCATTCACTTCTTCCTCCATTTCTTCTTTCTGCCTCCTCCATGTCTTCCTCTGTCCTTCTCCATGTGGCTCCTTGTTGCTGTCCATCCTCCATCCATTCGTTCCTCTGTCCACCACTGTGTTCTTCCTCCACTGTGTCCATGTGTCCTTCTGTCCTGTCTGTCCATGTCCTGTGGCTCTGTCCTCGGTCCACTGTGTCCATGTCTGTCCACCTCCTTTCTTCCTGTCCTTCCTCCACCTCTGTCCTCCTTCCTCCTCCTTCCTCCATTCACTGTCCATGTCTTCCTCCATCCTTCCACTGGGGTTGTCCGTCCACTGCTGTCCTCCTCCACTGTGTCTCCGCCATCTTCCTCCGTGCCTCTTCCTGTCCTCCACTCTGTCTCTGTCACTGTCCACCCTTTCTGTCCTCCACCACCCTTCAACAGCTGCCTCCTTCACTAACGACAATGCCTCAGTCCTCCACTAGACAGCCAACACTTCTCCACTGTGGTGTCTCACCGTCATGAGACTAATGCCTGCCTTCCTCCACCACTACAAACAGCTACCTCCACCCGTCCTTCAGGCAACAGGCTGCTCACTCACTTCAGATGACTGCCTCTGTCTGTCCCTCCACTTCAAGACAGTGTCCTCCACTGCTGAGGCAAACAATGCCTCCACCCGTCCATGGAGACAATGACTGTCCATGATCTCTGTAAAGGCAACAGCTGCCTCTTCCTCCGCCACTAAGGTGGCTTCTGCCTCCGCCCGTCAGGAAGACGTCTTTCTCAGACCACCCGTCGCTGGGAATGGCAATCCACCATGATCCGCCGCTGACAATGATTCCATCCGCCGCCCGCCAGACAATGACTGACATCCACTGCCGTCCCATTCCTTCTTCCTTCCTTCCTTTCTTCCTCTGTCCACCTTCTTTCTTTCCTGTCCTTCCATTTCTTTCCTTCTTCTTCTACCATCTACCACTCACTTCTTTTCTTTCCTTCCACCACCATCCACTTTCTTTCTTTCCTTTCTTCTCCACCACCTTTCCTCTTCTTTCCTTCCTCCACCACCACCTTTCTTTCCACCACCTTTCCTTCTTCCACCTTTCCTTTCTTCCATCCACCCTTTCTTCCTTCCACCATTCCTTTCTTCCTTTCCTTCTTTCTTTCTTTCTTTCTTCCTTCTTCTTTCTTCTACCCATTTCCTTCCTTCCTTCCACCTTTCTTCCATCCACTTTCCTTCCTTCCACCACTCTTTCTTTCCTCCACCATCTTCCTTCTGTCCACCATTCCTTTCTTCTTTCTGTCCATTCCTTCTTTCCTTCCTGTCCATTCTTTCTTTCCATTCTTTCTTCTTCTTTCCATCCTTTCTTTCTTTACCTCTGTTCCTTCCACCTCTTCTTCCTTTCTTTCTTCCATCCATTATCCTTTCCTTCTTTCTTCTGTCCATTTCTTCTTTTCCACCATTCTCCATTTCTTTCTTTCTTCCATCCACTTTCTTCTATCCTTTCTTCTTCCACTCACCATGTCCTTCTTTCTTTCTTTCATCACTCTACTCCATCCTTTCTTCTTTCTCCTTTCTTTCTTCCATCCCTCTTCCTTCTTTCTTCCTTTCTTTCTTCCTCTGTCCATTTCTTTCTTTCTCTATTCTTCCTTCTCCTCCATCCATCCTTGTTCCTCTGTCCACCACTAAAACAACCTTTCTTCCTCCTCCACTTCCTTCTGTCCACCACTAAGTGTGGCTCTGTCCATTCTTCCTCCACCATCCATGTAACCTCCACATTTCGTGCTTCCTCTTTGTTTCTCTATCTGTCCACCACTTCAGTCCACCACTGTTGTCATGTTCTTCAGTCCATTCCTCAGTCTTTTCTTTCACCACTGTGTCTACGTCCATCCATTCCACTTTCTGTCCTTGTCCTTCTTCCTCTACCTCCACTCCTCCTTGTCCTCCTGTCCTGTGTCCTCCTTGTCTACCTCCTCCACCGTCTGTCCTTGTCCATTTCCTTGGCTCTGTCTCCTGGCTCTGTCTTCCTCTTCCTCCACTGTCCTTCCTGTCCTTCTTCCTGTCCACTTCTGTGGTCCTCTGTCCTCCACTGTGTCCTCCACTGTGCCACCAAACTGGATGATGATCAATTTTAAAAGTTGAAACATGATTGATTTTTGAGTTGGGCAAAAGAAACCTTGTACATATGAAATGAGCTTTGCAGGAGTTCTGCATCAGAAGTGATCATAAACACATTTGCTAGAAATATCTGCAGCAGCATCAGCAGCAGCGTTGAAACTGTAAGTTAACAGATTTAGGATGCTTTTTCTCTTACTTTTGTTATACCAGCCTGTACAAAGTACTATCCAATCTACAAGCCCAAACTTGTATCTTAGTATTAGTTCACCCGCCGTAGCAAATGCCTGCAGCCGATCACTTAGCCTACTTTCCCAGAGCACCTTCACCTAATGTGATCAAAACTTGGCCTGCAACTGAACACTTAGGACACCAAGCTCTTTCACACTGCCCCTGTAGGCTATGATAATCCTGAGAACAGAGCAAAACTTTAGGTAAGTATGACCAAGGTCAGTTAGAAAAGTTCTCCTAACATTGGCTTGTTCTTCACATTATATGAAGCTGGGAAGAAGAATGTTTCCAAATAAGCAAGGACTAAGGGAAATTCATGTGTCTGTTGCAGAAGTTTCACCTTAGTGCAAAGTGTGGTTGTACGAAAACGTATCCTTGTGATGACTCTGAAGTCGCTTGTTAAACCAGTGTAAATATTTTTCAAGGGCACCCTGAACATCCAAGTTACAGCTTACATCAAGGAGTGACCTTATCAAAGGGGGCTTTGTGCAAGCCTAGAAGAAATGGTATTGCACTTGAGCTTGGAACCGGCATACACATGATACAGGATGCAGACTTGTCCACTTCCATTCATTAAAAGATTTTTTACTGTTGGAAAATAATCAGTAACAGATATCTGGTTGATTCTATGGTTTGAATCTGAAACCAAAAGATAATCAATGGTCAATAACAAGCAGAACCAGTGTCACCATCACACCAAGGTTCATTGTGTCCACACGTTGATAACATCTCCCACCTGCGTCACTCTGTGGCTGCAAGGATCAGGTTGCCACGCCCTGATCCAACCACAACCCTGTCCTGGGTCAACTCACTCATTCCAGACTTGTGTGAGAGCGCCATGGCTGCAGGGTTAATTACTACTGTACTCATGTCGCATGCTATAGTGTCTGTTAATGACGATGCCTGAAGCGCATGCACCCAGCTACTTCTTGTACACATGGCTCCTGATATTCATGCTACACTGTTAGTGTTTTTTGGAAGCAATGAGCTCCAATTGATAAATGTTGATGTATTATTGTCTGTTAATGATTTGCATCCTATTTTCTTGCAATTCTCTAAAATACTCTAACCTGAAGGATTCTAACATGACTGAGACTTTACAAAATCATATGCTCACCAGTGTATTGTTTACACCATCAGGACAGCCTTATTCAAATTTCTTTGTAATGTAAAGTTTGAATGTCAACACACAAAGTGCAACATCATAGCCAAATAGTGTTGACAGTATTTGACAATTGTTTTCAGTGCATTTTTCAAAGGGGAGCTCAAACAGATAAAGAAATAATGGGCTTTAAACAATCTTCACCACTCAGATGTCAGTCATACTGATTTGGGAAAACTTATGTAATAATTCATGTATTACACTCATTCTTGGGGAGTACAAGGATTTTGACACTCATTTCATAATATCAGGGTGATACCCATTCTTGTGCAATAATCCCTATCTATGATGTACAATAATCCCTATCTATGATGTTCAATAATCCCTATCAATGATGTACAATAATCCCTATGTATGATGTTCAATAATCCCTATCTATGATGTTCAATAATCCCTATCAATGATGTTTAATAATCCCTATGTATGATGTACAATAATCCCCATCTATGATGTACTATAATCCCTATCTATGATGTTCAATAATCCCTATGTATGATGTTCAATAATCCCTATCTATGATGTTCAATAATCCCTATCAATGATGTTTAATAATCCCTATATGATGTCCAATAATCCCCATCTATGATGTACTATAATCCCTATCTATGATGTACAATAATCCCCATCTATGATGTACAATAATCCCCATCTGTGATGTACAATAATCCCTATCTATGATGTACAATAATCCCCATCTATGATGTACAATAATCCCCATCTATGATGTACAATAATCCCCATCTATGATGTACAATAATCCCCATCTATGATGTACAATAATCCCCATCTATGATGTACAATAATCTCCATCTATGATGTACAATAATCCCCATCTATGATGTGCAATAATTCCCATCTATGATGTACAATAATCCCCATCTATGATGTACAATAATTCCTATCTATGAAGTACAATAATCTCCATCTATGAGATGGAACTTCTAATGCACCATGTGTGATACTTGTCAGTCTGATTTCCCAGGGGCAGTAGGGTAGCCTAAAAGTTAAAGTGTTCGCTCATCATGCCGAAGACCTGGTTCAATTCCCCACATAGGTACAATGTGTGAAGCCCACGTCTTGTGTCCCCCTGCCGTGATATTGCTGGAATATTGCTAAAAACTGGAGAGAAAAACCCAACTCACTCACTCACTCTGATTGCCCAGTGGTTCTGGTATTTCCTTTAGACACTGAAGGTTAATGCCTGTCATGAAGTCCAATTCTGTTGCTGGTATATTCCTCAATTTGCATTATACCTCACTCACTCCACAATGCCCAGCTATGAGAAAGTATTGAAAGATAAAAGCGAAATTGATTCACTGCTTACATCATTAGATTATCGAGCACCACTGGCTTTCACAATGAGTGGATAGAGAATGGCTATCAAAGTGATCAATCTCAATATGCATTTAAATCAGTATAAATTCATATTCGCTAAAGAAATTAGCTACCGCCATGAGCTCCATTATATAATCTAATTGGTCAACATAAGGAATCGTTTCACTGTATGACTTCTATGGCATGGCAATATTTCTCCTCCGATATTGTTGCAGTATATGTATATGCAACATGTCTTATCATGGATTGTTTTCTCTGACCATTGCAGTCTGAAAACATTTTTAGAAAGGGCTATGCAGTTCCATTGGTTTTAGTATGGTCTTCTGCGAACTCTGACTTTCATGAATATATTCTCCAAATCTGCGTCCATTATGTGGTTTCTGGTAGGACAGTGATGAATAGGTGGACCCGAGGTGCTGTATAATGGTGCTGAAGATGCCGAGGAGTGGCACACAAATCAGCCTACAGTCACTCCAGCCTGCAAATCCCTGCTGTCCTAATGTGACTCCAGTGGATTAGACTCCATCACTGACATAGATAGGTAGGCCTTGGCACATGAAGGCTAGAGGAAATACAGACTTCATGACTTAAGGCGGGAAATCGGAAAACATAATAGTTATCTATTGACATTGATTTTCTTTTTAAAGATATTGTCTAACCAAATAAGTTGTTTGTTTCTATTGATTCATCAGTGTCACGTTCAGTGAATAATTTTCAGATCTTGTAGTTGAACATGACAGAAGTAGATAAAGAGAAATGTGTGTCAACACCTACGTTCATTTAGAAAAGTAAAGGGGCAGTGGGGTAGCCTAGTGGTTAAAGCATTCGCTCATCACGCTGAAGACGTGGGTTCAATTCCCCACACGGGTACAATGTGTGAGGCCATTTCTGGTGTCCCATGCCGTGGTATTGCTGGAATATTGCTAAAAGCAGCGTAAAACCAAACTCACTAGCAAAGTAACTCTTTATAAGTCTGTAAAAATGTGTCTTTTCTAATTAGATAAAATAATATGGGTATTTGGTTTTGGGGCAGTTTTGTTGTTTTAAACATGTTCTGATGATAACTGATGGAGAATTGCAGTAAAACATGTTTAAAACACAAGTGCCTTCTATATTAATTGTGAAGCCCATTTCTGGTGTCCCCCGCTGTGATGTTGCTGGAATATTGCTAAAAGCGACGTAAAACCAAATTCAGTCAGTCTATATTAATTGCCCAAGAACCTTTCTATTGTGTAATGACCGTATAAATCACTGTTACCCTTTTTGTCCTCGGTAGATCTGTGCTATGTATCGTAGGGAAATGTCACTAACTCAGGACTCTGATAGTATCCTATAATAGTTAATGATTTGTGGTATATCATGATCAGTAGAGCTGTGTATCGTGGCCTAAGTGGCGAGACGATATATCCCGATACTAGTTTAATGAGGCGAGACGATATATCATGAAAGTATTGGCAAGGAACCTGCGAGACGATTATTTTCACGATACAGTGATGGCGATACGATACTTATCCCGATACTTTACAATCCTAAAAACAGGACATATATGATAGATAAAATGACTGAATCTTTATTTGTTATTCAGCAGAACATGTGTTACATTCACACACACTTAAAAGGCTGTTCATGTAATAAAGTTTCAGCATTTAATGTTTAAGAAAGTACAATCAAACATATTCAGTATACCTTGCTCTAGGTTTCCCTTGGAAAGTTGTGTTTCTGCACCAATGCTTGCACAGGCAATTTATACAGTAATTTATACCAGAATCACTGCAAAAAACTCATAAGTATGCTTTCTAAATTTTATCTTCTCTTTCTTAACAAAGCTAAGACATCGTTCATAGTTGTTAATAAATGGTTCACAGAGATTGTTCACATTCTTTCACTGATACACTAACTCCTTTGTTCATGTAATAAAGATGGCAGACACAAACAAATTCCTTTTAGGTTCAGTTTGTTTTTAAAATTCAGAAAAATTTCAAAGAGACTCCCTTCCTATTACTTATGCAATACTCCCTACAACTTAAAGTAATATTTAAGTTGTATCGGGATATATCGTCTCTTGTGGCGATACATCGATGTATCATGGACCCTCGCGATATAAATATCCTAATATATTGCCTAAACGTGTTTTGTATCGATGCACTCGTATCGCGTAGTTGACGATGCAAACATCGATACTATCGATGAATCGTTACACCACTAATGATCAGATGATAGAATAGCTCTCATGTTATATCATGTCGTTGCGAAGTTATGAATTTATGTTTAGAGGCCAAAAAGGATGGTACAAGGATGCTGTGTGTGGGGTTATCAGTGCCCTTACTGAGGGCACGTGTGGTCAAGTGGTGTAAGCCACTACTATTGACTGAGTTTTGTTCCTTGGGCATTCTGAAAACCAAAATTGTCTCTCTTTGGGTAAACATGGATGTTCCCATGAATTGTCTCTCTTCAGAGAGACATGGATGTTCCCATGAATTGTCTCTCTTTGGGTGAACATGGATGTTCCCATGAATTGTCTCTCTTCAGGTAAACATGGTTGTTCCCATTAATTGTCTCTCTTCAGATAAACATGGATGTTCCCATCAATTGTCTCTCTTCAGAGAGGCATGGATGTTTCCATCAATTGTCTCTCTTCAAGTAAACATGTCTCTCTTCTTCAGGTAAACATGGATGTTCCCATCAATTGTCTCTCTTCAGAGAGGCATGGATGTTTCCATCAATTGTCTCTCTTCAGGTAAACGTGGATGTTCCCATTGATTGTCTCTCTTTGGGTGAACATGGATGTTCCCATTAATTGTCTCTCTTCAGAGAGACATGGATGTTCCCATGAATTGTCTCTCTTTGGGTGAACATGGATGTTCCCATGAATTGTCTCTCTTCAGGTAAACATGGTTGTTCCCATTAATTGTCTCTCTTCATATAAACATGGATGTTCCCATCAATTGTCTCTCTTCAGGTAAACGTGGATGTTCCCATTAATTGTCTCTCTTTGGGTGAACATGGATGTTCCCATTAATTGTCTCTCTTTGGGTAACCATTGCTGTTCCCATGAATTGTCTCTCTTTGGGTGAGCATGGATGTTCCCATTAATTGTCTCTCTTCAGAGAGACATGGATGTTCCCATTAATTGTCGCTCTTCAGATAAACATGGATGTTCCCATGAATTGTCTCTCTTCAGGTAAACGTGGATGTTCCCATTAATTGTCATTCTTTGGGTAAGCATGGCTGTTCCCATGAATTGTCTCTCTTCAGATAAACATGGTTGTTCCCATTAATTGTCTCTCTTCAGAGAGACATGATTGTTCCCATGAATTGTCTTTCTTCAGAGAGACATGGATGTTCCCATGAATTGTCTCTCTTTGGTTAAGCATGGATGTTCCCATTAATTGTCTCTCTTCAGATAAGTAAGGATGGTGTCGTTAATTGTCCCTAACAGTTGTTTTTATCCAGTTAAACATGGATTATCATGGGTGGTCCAGCAATTATCTGTTTTCAATAAACCAATGTTTGATTCCATCAGTTGTCTGTCTTCAGAAAAACATGATAAATCCATGGAAACAATATTGATAAAGATGTAGACACAAATTAAGACTGTCCAGTGTATACGAATCCATATTGTTGTACTTAGATGGAACCATTTATTTGAGCATTAGTTTCTTTTAAAAGTTGTGTTTAATACAGTTGTAAGGAATCTCAGTTTCTGTGGGGGCGGTGGGGTAGCCTAGTGGTTAAAGCGTTGGCTCGTCACGCTGAAGACCCGGGTTCGATTCCCCACATGGGCACAATGTGTTAAGCCCATTTCTGGTGTCCCCCGCCGTGATATTGCTGGAGTATTGCTAAAAGCGGAGTAAAACTAAACTCAGTCAGTCAGTCAGTTTCTGTGGGTTTTAATGCGATTGTTATAAAGTTCTTAGGTAACACAATGCTGATTTGGAGTAAACTGTATGTAATTGAGGAAGTGAATACAGGTTGCCATGTACTGAATTTTATACTTTCAGCAACATGTTATTTCACATAGGTAGTTAAATCGTGTCCATTGAATGCCAGACGAACGTACTATGTGTTAGTAATGATGTGTTGCTTGGTAGATGTTTGTGTTGTAGGATGATCTTGCTATAAGACTATATACCACATTGTGTACAAAGGGCAGAGGCTCCTATCACATTCAACAGGACATAGGAAGATTGCCTAAACAAGGCCTCTTCAGTAATGGTGACATTTTGCAAATATGCTAGCTGGTAAATATTATCAATTTTACAGGACATTTGACTATCCTTGAAGGACCATCTTTGCACAGTGTGTGTTCATTGAGGTGATCATGGGTATCTCGCACCTATCACAGCTTGTATACCAAGATATCTCATACTGTTGTACAGTTTTTAAGTTCATGTATTCAACAGAAAATAAAAAAATTAATAAAAAAAATAAAATAAAAAACAAACAAAACTTGTCGTAAGAGGCGACTAACGAGATCGGGTGTCAGGCTTGCTGACTTGGTTGACACATGTCATCGTATACCAATTGCGTAGATCGATACTCATGCTGTTGATCACTGGATTGTCTGGTCCAGACTCGATTATTTACAGACCTCCGCCATATAGCTGGAATATTGCTGAGTGTGACGAAACACTAAACTCACTCACTCACGTTGTTGCCATGACGTAACACGTTGTACCGTAATATATGTTGCGATGTTTTCATAAACTGTCTCAGCATGTTCACCAAACGAATAAAAGCATGTTTAAGTCACACAAAAAAAGATAAAAAGATAAAGATGTAGCATGCTTTTGTAGTCATTCATGGACATGGTAGCATCAAAGGCCTGGCATAGTAACAACTGATTTTCACTCCTGTTCCATGTGAAGGTATTGTACAATGCAGAGGAGAACTAACATGAGGACTAAGATCAATGAAGCCAACAGTTTTAGGGGGAACGGAAATATATAAATATCATACATTCACATTCACTGTCATGTATCATTATTGAGTGTTCATCAGAGAGTGTGATGTTCTTAGTAAGACTTGCAAGGTGGCGCATGTTTTATTTCAAGTATACTTCAATTGGAAATTAGATGTAGATGAAATCAGCTTTCAGTACAGATTTGTGTTGGGGGAAAAACACTGATTGTTGTAGCAGAAATTGGGATGCTGTTGCAATGAATATGTGTATGGTTGTATTGCAAAAACACTCAGAAACTTCTTTTCTCTGCAGGTAAGTTGATAAGCGCTTCAGAAAGTAATTCATTTTATATTCATTTTTCATAATATCCGAAAATAGGCAGAGGGCAAAAACAAACAGAATAAAGCAGTTTCTGGTCCTTAAGTTGTCGTTTTGAGAGTTTAGAGTTTCTTTGTCAAGTCAACTGTCTTGTGACTCAAGGTGGTGAAGGCCTCAATCCATGCCCACTTACTTAGCCATCTTCTCACTTACTTGTCTAACCACTCACCAAAACACTTCCTCACACACTGTACCACCCAACCCACTCACTCACCCACTCATTGGTCCCCGCTCAACAGCAAAAATACATTCTGAACGCGGAACGGGGGACTATGTATTCAGCGGCGTCCGTGTGTACATACGTCACAATTCTTGTTAGCGTGATATCTCATGAACTGCAGTACCCAGTGTCTTCAAATTTGGTGACAGCCTACATTGGGGGATAACCCAGACACCAGTCGATTTGGGTGACCTTGACCTTATTTTCAAGGTCACCACGACACTTTGACCACTTTTCAAACTTATTTAAACGCGATATCTCATAAAACATTATCTCATTATGTCGACAGCCTACATTGGGTGATTATGCAGACACCAGTCATTTCAGGCCTCTTGTATTTGACCCAAAAATAAAAAGTAGTAAATATGTTATAGATATTCCATTCTTTAGCAGCGGGGGACACATTGCCATATCAGTGGCAAACACTTGTTCTTCCTGTTCTTTCTAAACATGTCTCCACTAAATAAATTCCAGCACATCCACCCACCCACCCAACCACTCACTCACTCACCCAACCACACAGTCATTCCACCCAACTCACTCATCCACCCAACCACCAACAGTCATTCCACCCATTTCACTCATCTACTCACCCACTCACTCGCTCACTCACTCACTCACTCACCCAACCACAGTCATTCCACCCAACTCATCCACCCACACAGTCATTCCACCCAACTCATCCACCCAACTCATCCACCCACACAGTCATTCCACCCAACTCATCCACATATTCAGTGAATCGAACCGTAGCCCTTCATGAATTCAATTCGTTATTCGTGGCCACCAGAACCGAATATTCATGAATATTTACAATTTGTTTAAAGGTGTCCGTTTTACTTGAACCCTATGTCCTTTTTCAAAATGAGATATGCAAGAATTAAATATGTACAAACTTTGTAGTACCGCAAGTCATGTTAGTTTTCCAAGGCCGCACATGTTACTGTCAGCTATAACTATTAGATACCAAATTTGAGTGTCATGAGATCACTGGTTATTGCTGTGACAAATTAACACTGTCAACATGGGCATTCAATATTGTGCATCAATCACTTAACTTCAATATTGTATTCATGAATCAACCACCCACACAGTCATTCCACCCAACTCATCCACCCAACCACCCACACAGTCATTCCACCCAACTCATCCACCCAACCATCCACCCAACCACCCACACAGTCATTCCACCCAACTCATCCACCCAACCACCCACACAGTCATTCCACCCAACTCATCCACCCAACCACCCACACAGTCATTCCACCCAACTCATCCACCCACTCATTCTTCTTGTTTTTTCTCAGCATGTCTCCACTAAATACATTCCAGCTGATATAATGCCCGTTCTTGGAAACCACTCAGTCAGTGTATGATACACAATTAAATGAACATGTAGTTATGAATTACTGCCAACTACTTCCTTGGAGCTGTCATTTGTTTTCCTAACTGCGTATAACATTGGTAAATTGCTCATTAAGTGTTTGGGTAACGTTTAGAATTATCCTTGTGGCGTGACTAGCCTCTTCCAGCCTGATGTTCATAGCACTGAAAGGGCCATCTGTTAGGACACTGTTCAATAAAGAAATGTGTTACTACGGTCATCAAATAGGTGGCTGGCTCATAGTGCCTAGAGTAGTCCTTTAATGGCTGTTCAGTGGTACCTATTACCTGTACAGTTGTCATGGTATTGATGGCCTGTCTCTGATTGTGAGAAACAAGACACGGGGGTAATGTGTGTGGTTTTCCCTTCATTGAGACGCTGACTGGGCTGTAAGTTGTAAAGTGGTAATGATTTTTTGGTAAAGATGAGAAAAACAAAGCAATGAAAATAGCTAGGTATGTTTGTATTGCTGCTGGTAATAGCAAAGTTTAGTTATGGTATGTATTTAGGGTGATAGACAGTGAGTGTGGTTTTATCCTGCTGTTAGCAATAATCCGGCAAGATGACACTGGAGACACGAGGGAATCAAACCCAATTTAGTTGTGACAAATGAAATGCTGTACTAAACTACCACACCTCCTGGATAGACAGAGGGACATGAAAGAGTGAGTGAGTGGATCGAATATGGAGAACGGGATTAACCACTCATTTAGGATAAAGAGTGGTTAATCCCCTGTTCTCTGGGATATGAACATGTCGATTTTGTTCACAAAATTAAAGTTTTATAAAGAGTATTCTGATTCGGTCTTGGCATGGTTAAATTGTTTGACCAGATTTTGTCTTGTCTACATGTAATTTTTCCCTAAAACACCAGACCATAAAACCTGCATCTAACAATTTCTGAAATATATTTCTTTGCCAACATGACAGTCTTCTGAAGCCATTACTCCTCCACAGATGACCATTAAGCTACAAGACATAATTCCTCGCAACTCAAGTCCACTTTTCTTCTGGAATGAGTGAAACTAATGGAATTGATACCAAACTGCATTATAACACTTGTCAGCCAGGGGTGATTTGTTTAACATCTTTCGGCCATGAATAAAAGATATCCCGCCATATTGTCAGGGTGGCCATCAGTTGTAATATTCACATCATAGCTGGTATTTCTTTCAAAAGAGAATGTTTTCTTTCAGCATGTCCAAAAGTGTGATGAAATATAGCTTTGTTCCCGTTATGTAATGCAAGGAGTAGGCTCAGACATTGTACACATGTGAGAATCAAACCTGGACTTTGGCATGATGCCAACACTTTCATCAGTTTTTTTAACACATAAGACCCATGTGTTTGTTCAACCAAACAGGTATATTTTTGAAATGTTAAAAAGATAAAGGTTCCATAGAGTTGCATGGATTTCTTTCCTTTTAAAAATCTGAAGAATAAAAGGAAAAGAATAATAAATATGTACTAAAAATACAATAAATGTATGTCTTGTTTGCTTGGAAAAAGTTCTTTTAAAAAAGATGGTTTTATATATCATTTGAGAAAATTAAGAAATTTTCCTAAAATCAACCATGTCAAGGAACAATTATCACAAATTGCCCCCCAACATTTGTAGGGGAAGTATTCAGGTTGGCGTTGGACATGTTGTGTAACCAGAAGTCTCGGCCATCATTGATAACTGTCATGAATTATTCTGTGATCTCTGTATAATTGGAGAAAGTTATTTATGTTCCTGTTCGGTTAATATCCTCACTTCATGGCTATTAGGTCAAGTGAATATGGCAACCAAATACAATCTGGGACTTACTAGGTTTGATATCAATTACAGAACAAATACTGCCAGTATCACAAGCCCACTGGGTATCAGCACAGAGAGATATTGACCCCTTCATCAATGGCCATCACAGGCTGGCTCTGTAGCAGATTTAAGGACTCATTTTGAGAATAATAATGAAATGCAGTATTGAATTATACCAGACATGGCAGTTGTGATAAAAAATACAATAGAGAACAAGTAAACATTTTTCCATAGCTGTGTTTTGTTGAACAGCCATGTGTAACAAAATAAAACTCCAGTATCATGACTTCCTGAATTAATCTAAGTTGGTCATGATTCCTGTTTAATCATACAACAGGTGCATGTGATACCTGGCTGTCAGTCCGTAATCCATTCGTCTGTCTGTAATATCAATATCAACACTGGATAGAGAACCAAATAAACACGGCAGTAAATATGAAATTGAACATGAGCAATCTCATCAGAGGAATTTGTTTGGATTTTGCCATCCCATTAAACATGTCTGAAGATTTTATGCTGTCTAACAGATTTATGAAACAAATTTAGTGAGATTTGCATTTGGGCCATGGAAACTAATGACAGTAATTTCAGTCTACATATCACTGAGACAGGATTTGGCAGGATTAGAATTTCCGTCTTGTGTTGAATGG